CTGATTTCGAAATAAGAAACTCATTTCCATTTTAGGAAACTAATTTTCTAAAATAGAAAACTTTTTCAAAATAGGAAACTTTTTCCAAAACCTTTGCTTCTCTTTTATCATGTGAATGTTTAAACTTATGCGTGTGACTCGGACTCCTAGATATATTGATAATGTATTAAAAAGATAAAGACACTTCTTTTATCTTTTGATATATAAATGAATATTGATCTCTAACAAAGCATTATGAATATCCAATTCTCTAGAAGGATTAATTAATTCGTAATTATCTTTCACGAGTATGGTTTTCATACAATTCGGTCTTCATGTGAATTTATCATACTATGATCTCAAACTAGTATATAGTCTATTAGATTATGATCATACAAGTTTTCTTCGATCTCCAAATGTTTTAACTCTCAAGTAAACCGACTATGCTTTATTGGTATACTTCCACTTTGACCATAGATTCTTGAGTAGACATTTATCGAAGTACAATGTGATAACTCCTTTAGCATACAAGCAAGACCTATCTTAGTCATCCATCTATATCCATTCAATTCCTAATTCACCTACCGAATCGCTCACATACAACTCTTTAATGAGCCCATCAAAACAAAACTCAAAGTAAACCAATTCTTTAATAAGATAATCATGATGACTTTAAGTCAAAGGACTACTTGTACCCATCTTATATGAGGTTCCCGTAGACTAAATCAAATGTGTTCTCATGGTGAATCACAGGCTAGTGATATGTTTTTTAATATTATTCACTTGAGTGTTTTCTTTGGCATCACCGTGTCGATAGGTGTGAAATCTCCTACTACTATCTTATAGCAAAGAGCATAGCACTCATAAGTCTTATCGCATATTGTCGATGTCCAATCTTGACAATGTTATAACTTGAGATATTTAATATATCATTTAAATGCATTGATATTTATCTTATATCTATTGATCAATCATTAATGCAATGCATATCATATAGACTTCTATCTAATTCTATCAAATTATAAATAACAAGAATTAATAAAAAAAATTATTAATATTTAAAATGCAATAATATACTATATCAAATCCAAACAAGTTAAATCTTGGACACCTATACTAATAGTTGCTTCATAGCGTGTTGAGTAGGAAGGCACTACTTTTCAAAAAATGGATCATTAAGATAAGCATCCAAGAAGGGGACTGGATCTCTTTTCATAAGATTGGACTTAGTTCCTTCAAATTTAGGTATTAGTTTCATAAGAATTTAATCCCATTTAATAGTGCCATGGATAGTTTGAATAGAACTAAGAACATTAGGTTGTAATATAGCATAAATGATATCGGTATATTTAGCATAAAGATTCATAATATTAGACATCGGAGATAGAGAGATTGTCATGTTAGAGAATGGCTAAGTCATGTTCCATTTGAAATCGACGAGCGAGTTATGCCGATTGTAGAGTTTTTTAAAGATGATTCCACATTGCGGTCGAAGTCCGGAAATGTCAAAGATGATTTTGGATTTTATAGACCCTAGAACCCATGAAATGATTTGGGCATCGGTAACCTCCCACTCGGCTTCCTCATTTTTTTTATGTCTTAGATAGGTATGTTACCATCAACATGGCCCTATAGAGCCTTTGTTAACAAAAGTCTAAAAATAGAATGCTTGTTTGAAATAATTTTTGCCATTAAAACAAAAAAAAGAGTATCATACCTATCCGAAGACATGAGGACTTGATCAAAAGTGTCATAAACCATTTTTTAGCCTCCAACAAATTTTTATTTTGTACAAAATTCAAAAAAATTACATGATGCATAGTTTCTTTTTTTATATAAAATTTTTAGGATTTAAATTTCTTAAAATTATCCTCTAATTTTAATTAAAAAAAGAAAAGAAAATGAAAGAAAAAGAGAGAGAAAAATATGGGCACAAATTGAAGAACATAAAAAGTGTGAGCATCAATAAAAATCAAATTGAGAGTGTAATTGAAACAAAAAATTGTTAATAATTGAAGTAGAATCAAGGGAAAAAAAATGAAGGATTGAAACAAAATTAATCCAAACCCTAAAAATATCCTATAAATACATCTTTTTACCCACCAAAAAAAAAAAAAAAAAGCCGCCACCCTAACAAAAACAAAGCAAAAGTCAAAGAACTCCTTAAAAAAAATCGCCTTGTTTAGCTAAACTTGCCGGAACCATCGACCTCTTTTTTCTCAAAAACACCACTCTTCGACCAACATCACCTCCAATAACCACCATATACTTAAAGCCCAATCTCGGATCGACCTTCTTCAACCGAGTCATGACAAAAGAAAATTATAGGATGGGTCAAAAGTTGAACGAAAACCACGATAAGCCGACCTAAACTAGAACTTAGAAAAATTGCCAATTTCTAGCCAAATCAATTGCTGCTACCACTAAAAAAACATATCTCAACCTCTTAAAAGTTGATTTGTCCAAAAATATCAAAAACAACCTTGTCGGAATCGATCGAATGGAAGAAAAAACCAAATCCCAATTCGTTTTTGTAAACCCAACCTAAAAGCATCTCCTCCTCTTCAATCGATCACATTTCAGCCAAATTCGAGGCCAAAACCTCGATAAAAAGAAGGGTCTCCTTCCCCACAATCCTTCTCCCCTTGTGACGTTGATGAAAAACAATAGGAGAAAGAGGAAAATGATTAACAACCCGTAACTCTTATAACTCATGACTAAGACCCGACTTTATCTCCATTTTTTGGTCAAATTAGACTACTTAATGATTAAAATGAAGCTCTACTAGATATTAGGGGTTGCTTTGTGTTATTTTAAGCCTAAAAAAAATCATTAAGGCTGGCCAAAATTGATTAGAGAAAAGAAGAAGGAGAAGGTCAAAACTTCTCAATCGTCGATCTCCCTCAATAAATGATGACAACCGACACAACCACCACAAAAGGAAAGAGGAAGACTTCCTCCACCTAACGAGAACCATCCACGGGCTAGAAGGTGATCGAAGGAGTGACTCGCAACGACTAAAAGATTGGCTATTAAGAGCAATTCTATCATATCACCTACATAGAGGTAATTTTGCCATTTTCAAAAGTAAAGGGTATTTTTGTCATTTTTTAATAACATTTCAAGAGTATTTTAGTCACTTTTTAGTGACCATTTGGTTTTTTTAAAACCTTTTTTTAATTATTAATTATTATGTTATTTTGTAATAATATTTAATTTTATATTAGTTGAAGTGTAAACATATTTAGGTTATAAATTTTATTTTAACATGTGAATTTTTATTTGGTCATGATTTCTAACTAACGAGTCTTTTATTTATTAGGAACGAGACGAGTGTCTCGATATATTTTATCTAATAATAAAATGCTAAAAAAAAAAGAGAAAGCTTTTCCTTGTTAAATTAATTGGAGATCTAGCAGATTGAACCGGGGAGTCAAATATTTGATAGGAATGGATTGTGGTCTTGACATTTTATTTAAAAAGAATGGTTAAAAAATAAAAATCAATGAGATGGTAGAAACATACTAGTTTTATTTTGCATCTCGCACAAACACTTTAGATTACTATGTCATTTTTTGACATGTCAATTATGTGAGGACCGAAATGGATTCAATGTTAAATTAATGAGACTCTCAATTTTTTAGCTTGATGTCAATTTAATACAATTTCACAATAAAAATAAAAATATAAAATCAATTTTGGAGACATTTTCCCATCTACATCCAAATCATATACTCTTAGCTAATTAGGTCATTCCTCAATATACTAATCTTATCAAGACATAATTGGATCCAATGTTAAATTGATGTGAGTTTCAATTTTAAAGTCCGACATCAATTTAATATAATGCCACAATAAAAACATAAAAATTAAATTTGACCTAGATGATAAATAGACTTAGAAAATAATTTAAAAAACAGAATTTTTAGGAGATATTTTTAGAATTAGACTAAACTCGGTATATTTCTTTGGAAATAGCATATTTAGGTGATTGTTATTTTTTCAAACGCATAACCAATTTGTTACCCATAATCTATGAATCCAATGCCTTTTTTAGGTTTTCTAGTTACATTTAATATTAGGTGGAGACTTCAAAACTTTTTCTTAATTTTTTTTTCTTTTTCATAAATTTTTTTTAAAATCTCCTAAATGTCATACGAGCGATAAAGAGTAACAAGAAACAAGAGAATGATCTCAAACTAAGCTCTAGCAAATGAAAAAGAAAGGACAAGAGTATATATATATATATATAAAGGAGGATTGTAACTCGATACCATGATAAACTTGAGTTAACAAACGAAAGGTTTTTAGCTCGAAAAGTGTGCTCTCATCAAGAGTTCTTACCATATATATTCTTTACAACCCTATAGCTGGTATAATCTAAATAAAAAACAAATATTCCTAGTAAATCGTAATTAAGAAATAATTAAAATATCGAAGCTATATATGGTATAACATCCGTTACATATCATCATTATACAAGGTAGGAAATCTACCGAAATCTACCGACTTTAAAGACATGATATCGCTGAGATCTTTATGACAAAAAGTATCCGTTGAATTTGAGCTTATCCTCACTATACCAGCGGCTTTCAATTCTTGCATTGGGTCTAGTCGGCTTTTCTATAAGAAACCAAGAAACTTGACTCGTTTTTTGACCGAGAGAAAAATGAAAAGGATTCTCTTACAAGTAGTTTTGCATATAGGGCAAAGAAACTAAATGCTCTCTCCATATTAAGTTAATCTATCTTATGCTTGTTTAATTTTGGGCCAATCTTCACAATAACACCTTTGTCGAAAGCGGTAAAGAAGTAACCGCATGTTTATCTAACCAAATAGAGTGCACACATGATTTGTGCATGTTTATCTCAACTAATAGGGTGCACAAATGATTTGTGTATATAAGGACATGGACCAAGTATCTTTAATTAAGAGTTGAGTAAGAAAATTGGTTGCATCTACTATGAAGCCTAAAATACTAGGTGTTGAAAAAATTTTCAGCCACAACATTCTTGAGTCTCTTAATCATAGTTTTTGTTCTTGTGCATAGGCACCAATGCATATGCTCGATTGACGAGCATTAACGTTGCCGGGACTTGCTTAAAACTCCGAGCAAGCATTAGGTGGGCACTATAATGCCCACCAACCCGAGCCAAGAGAGGTCGAAGGAGCTTCTCACATGAGCTGGAATTGCTCGGATTGCCCCGGTCTCCCAAGGCCACTTGTGTTGGTAATTTGAGCTCGAGCTCACATTGGCGAGCCACCGAATCTCCATCGGAGTCTAGTTGGAGGTCTAATCCGAGCTGAAATTTCCTCTTTGGATCCGGCTTGGGCCTACTACCGGAAATAGATTCGAGCCTCAAAGCCGCGGTCCACAAAACATTGAGAATTAGCAATCTATCGGAGCATACATTGCTAATCGGTTAGGAAACCGAAGAGAGGAATTTTGGCACCACGAGTTAATGCCGCAATCTTAGCGAAACATAAAGCATTTGTTTTCCACTTAATTTCCTCGTTCCATCATTGTAATTTGATCATATGGAAATATATTTGATTAAACTCAACCCAGTCTTATTTCTTTTTCCATTAATGAATGAATTTAATTAACTAGTCTCATATCCTTTTGCTCGTATTCTTGTTTACGTTCGATTGTGCTCCTCGGGGCCAAGGGTTTCGTAATTCCATATCTAACTTTCGTATAAAAGGTAAAGAACATCATATGAATGTTGAAGGCGACGCATAGAGTCCTAGTATGGGCTCGCATAAAAGCCGTATACCATTTAACGAAACAAAGCAATTACGCGCAACGAGTATGAATCGTAGATTTTCTATGTTTGGAATATTTGTCGCACACAAATCTTGATAATCATGGGCTGCAATTTTGTTGGGTTCGTGATCCTTCAATTCCAATAAATGGGTACGAGTTGCGCACCAAAATGCCGATGGAGTTGTAGAGAGGTTGGAACGGTCTTTTTATTGAACTATCCTTGCAAGCCATGCCCTAAGTATGCTAATCCCGTAGGCTATCCACTCGCAGAGCCTTAAGTTTGCGTTCACTATAGGCGGATAGTGGAGAATTCTCCACCGGGGCTTCATTTGTGTGCAATTTATCCGGAACATGGAATCGGCCTCGAGATGATTTTCTCTTTTTGAAGAAAGATGAGGATGGTGGTGTTGAAGGCTTGAAGTTTTTAACGGATGCATTCTCCTTGCATTGGGGTGTGTTTCTTTGGATTATTATGGAGAATTACTCATCTTGTATCTAATGTCCATTTAACATATGTTTTCGTAACTAACCTAGGTGATGTGGAAGTCCGCATAATTACTCGTTAAAATGCACTTTCTCAAGCACAAGTGACTTGATTTTTAGGCGAGGATAACTTAGATTTTCTTACCGAAACTAGATAAGTACTCGCTAGATATTTTTTGATAAATTTACACACTAGAGGAATAAGTAAAAGCGGATTGATCCGCGCATAATTCAACTTCGATGAAGAAGTCGCCCAAGGTTGAAGAAAGCCGGTTGAAGGGCCAACTAAAGAAAGACAGTCGAAAGGCCAACAAATGGGCTCCCTCACCTTCGAACATGCGGACCCAAAAAGAACATTTTTGGGCTCGGTAATTTAAGGAGCGAAGCCCACCTCAAGCACGCACTCTTCGTTTCGATTTATCTTGTAGCATACTTGTTTCTTTTTTCTTCTTCCGGTCGTGTCCGTTACATTTAGTTTCCACGACCTTCTAGAAGAGAATAGCTAGCCTCCGCCATCATTCCAAGATTCCCGGAATATGGTTGTAACAAACTACCGACCTTGCACAAAAGACGCCTATAAAGGCCTCTCTTTCATTCAATAAAATTTAAGCCAAAATGTTTATCATCTAAATTTCGTCATGGTATCGGAAGCACGGACCGGCTTTATATCCGTTCTTTGTCACAATTTTTTCATGACTTCATTTCGGTATCATTTCCGCCACCTTTAGAGTGTGTTGATTTTTTTTCTTTTCAAAAATATCTCCATCATGTCGAGGCTTCTTATGCCGTATTGCTGCAAATCAAGGGCAGCAGAGTCAATCTCATAACCAAAATACTACCGGACTTGAAGATCACCCAACTAGTCCATATTATCTACATCCTAGTGAAAACCCTTCTTTAATCCTTGTTTCATCTCTCTTAACCGATGTAAATTATCATTCATGGGCAAGATCCATCCATATGGCTTTATTGTCCAAAAATAAGCTACGGTTCATTGATGGTTCCATTCGCTATGCCACCTAAAAATAACCCCTTATATGTTTATTGGGAAAGATGCAATACCATGATGCTATCCCGGTTAATGAGATCTCGTTACGGAATCCATAGCACAAAGTGTGATATGGTTTGATTCAACGATAGAAGTGTGGAAAGATTTGGAGGATAGATTCTCACAAGCGATTCTTTTCGAATTTCGGACCTCCGGGAGGAAATTTTCAGCTTTCGTCAAGGTAATCTCTCGGTTTCGGACTACTACACTCACCTAAAGATTGTATGGGATGAGTTTTTCAATCTTAGACCAATGCCTAAATGTCAATGTGAGCCACAATGCACATGTGACGTTCGAAAACTATCAAATCCTATCGTGACGGTGATTGTGTTATTAGATTTTTCGGAGGTTTGAATGATTCTTACTCCACTCGTGAAATCCCAAATTATGCTCATTGATCCCTTGCTTGATATTAAGAGAGTCTTTACTATGGTAGCTCAACATGAAAGATAATTAAACAATTCCACCCAAACTTCCCCGAACCCAAACACCATTGAACCACAAGTTTTTTACACCAAAACGGATCGGAGAATGAGTTTTACACGGACCAAAAAACTTATTTACACCTACTCGTAACAATAGTGGCCACATTGAAGACAAATGTTATCGCAAACACGGTTTTCCTCCTAATTTTTCCCCAAACACCCGTCCCAACTATGCACCAAGAGACAATTATAAACCTAAATTTAGATCAGCAAACGTTGTGGAAACTCACTCGGATACTTGTTCCACCGCACTTGACTCGCCACTTCACTCGGATACAAATTCCGTCTAAAATAGATTCTTCCGTTGCTTTTCATTTCACCGAACAATGTGACGTTTGTCATTTTGCTAAACAAAGAAAAAGACCTTTTCATATCGATCCTTCTATTGCTATCTCTTGTTTTGATTTAATTCACGTAGACATTTGGGGGCCTTATCATACCCCATCAATTCTTAGATACAAGTTTTTTTTAACCATCGTGGATGATCATAATAGAATGACATAGGTGTACATGATGACACATAAGTCCGAAACTAGAGAACTCATCAAAGGGTTTTGTGCATATGTGGAAAGACAATTTAACAACAAAATTAAATACATCGAAGTGACAATGGTGCGAGTTTTCCATACTCGATTTCTTCAAGCAAAATGGCATTTTACATGAAACCACCGTGTCAAAACACCTCAACAAAATGGAAGAGTTGAAAGAAAACATCAACACATTCTAAATGTGGCAAGAGCACTAAAAATACAAGCACACCTACCTACCGAGTTCCGGACTGAATGTGTCCTTCATGCGATCTATTTAATTAATCGCATCCCCTCCCCCTTTTATCTCACAAATCTCCCTACTCTATATTATTTGACTCTCACCCTAATCTAACCCCTTTAAAAGTATTTGGTTGCCTCTCGTTTTGCATTTACAAAAGCAAGAAACGAGAGGTAAGTTTGATACTAGGGCAAGGAAATGTGTGTTTCTTGGTTTCTCTACGTGCACTAAAGGATACAAGGTATTTGATCTTACCGCCAAGCAATTCATTCTCTCCGGAGATGTGATTTTTTATGAAGATCGTTTCCCTTTCCTTGCCTCATCTCAAAACTCCCCCATACCCCCTCCCATATTACCTCTTTCTCCACCTGGTCCATATTATGACATTCCCCCACCATCTTCTCCACTCATATCCTCCTCGATTCACAATGAGGATTCCCCCCACCCTTCCCCCCACCTTCTACTTCCCCTTCCTCTTCCTCTCCTCCACATTCCCCCTCACCATCACCTCCTCCAATCCGTCATTCTACTAAGCGATCCAAACCTCCCTCATACCTACAACACTATGATCGCTCTCGCCCTCACTCGTACCTCTCCCCATCCAATGTCTTCTTTCATTTCCTATCATAACTTATCCCCTACCCATCGAGCCTTCTCGCCTCTCTAACATCCCTCAAAGAACCTACCACATACAAACAAGCTCTACAACACCAAGTATGGAGGGATGCTATGCAAGTTGAATTACAAGCATTGCAAGATACCGAAACATGGGAACTTACTTCATTACCACAAGGGAAAGTTGTTGATTGCAAATGGGTTCATCGCCTCAAGTTCAATGCCGATGGAAGCTTACAATGCTGCAAAAGTAGAGTCGTTGCTAAGGGTTTCACACAACAACATAGCCTAGACTATACCGAAACCTTCTCCCTCGTTGTCAAGCCTACCACCATACGGCTCTTGCTTGCTCTTCATCGCATCCCAAAATTGGTATCTTCACCAATTGGACATCAACAATGCATTTTTACATGGAGATCTACACAAGGAGGTCTACATGCAACCACCCCTAGACTACCTCTTCCACATCCCGCCATGGTTTGTCGATTGAAGAAGAGCATATATGGGCTCAAACAAGCTAGCGGACGAGTGGAATCATAAACTTACTTCGCTCTACTTGCTTCGGTTTTTCTTAATCCAATTCGGACCATTCCATGTTCACCAAGCTTCGAGCATGACAACTTCATCATCTTGCTTGTCTATGTTGATGATGTTCTATTAGCCGACACCAAGCATGCCTCCGATTGAGACCACCAAGCATTATCCGGATTGCACCTTCAAAATCAAAAACCTTGGAGAAGCCAAGTATTTTTTAGGCCTTGAACTTGCTCGCTCCTCATCCGGTATAAACCTTTCCCAATGCAAGTACACTATGGATCTTCTCCGGGACACTCGGTTTCCTTGACTCCAAACCAGCTTCTACTCCTATGACACCCAATAACGACCTATCTTCCGAAGGTGAGCCATTCTCGGATATTACTTCCTACCGATGCCTAATTGGGAAATTAATCTATCTCATAACTACAAAGCTCGATATAAGTTTTCGTCGTTCAACAACTCTCTCGGTTCCTAGACAAACCCACTACATCACACATGCAAGCTGGCTCATCGCATTCTTCGTTATCTCAAAGGCTCACCTAGTCGTGGCATTCTCTTCCGCCGTGATTCTCCTCTCCAATTGTGAGCCTTCTCCGATTCGGATTGGGGCACCTACCCCGACACTCGCAAATCCATCACTCGGTTATCGTGTCTTTCTCGCTCCTCTCTCATTTCTTGGAAGTCCAGAAGCAACCCACCGTCTCCGAAGTTCTTCGAGGCGGAATATCGTGCCCTAGCCATGACCACTTGTGAATTGCAATGGCTATTATATCTCTTTCGAGATTTTGGTATAGAACACAAACAAGCAGACTTACCTCTACTCGTGATAACAAATCCGCCATCCATATTGCGTAAAACCCAATTTTTCATGAACGAATGAAACACATCGAGATCGATTGTCATCTCATTCGTGAAAAACTTCAATCCGGCACCATCCATCTCCTTCCCGTAACTTCCCAATCACAACTTGCCGATGTCTTCACAAAGGCTCGTCCACTCCTTCCTTTGAATCGATGTTGCTCGAGTCGGGCGTTCACTCGTCTACCTTCCAGCTCGTGGGGGCGTGATGAAGAAGTCGCCCGAGGTTGAAGAAAGCAGTTGAAGGGCCAACTAAAGAAAGACAACTGAAAGGCCAACAAATGGGCTCCCTCACCTTCGAACATGCGGACCCAAAAAGAACATTTTTGGGCTCGATAATTTAAGGAGCGAAGCCCACCTCAAGCACGCACTTTTCGTTTCCGATTTATCTTATAGCATACTTGTTTCTTTTTTTCTTCTTCGGTCGTGTCCGTTACATTTAGTTTCCACGACCTTCTGAAGAGAATAGCTAGCCCTCGCCATCATTCCAAGATTCCCGGAATATGGTTGTAACAAACTACCGACCTTGCACAAAAGACGCCTATAAAGGCCTCTCTTT